ACCAAAGAAGAGGCCCAAAAAGCCTTAAACGAATCCTACAAGACTATGGCCCAAAAACAACCAGTCGAACCAAAAGCCCAACTACCATCAATGAAAATACCCAGAATAGCCCAAATACCAACCACACAAGAAAAAGAGGCCATGAAAAAAGTCACCCTCGAGAAATACCAGTCCTACTGGGCATCCCTAGTGGACTACAAAGAAAAACACACCACCATGGGTTTTTACCCAAAAATGACCAGAACTGGACCAAAGGCTATCTTCATCGGAGAAGCCAACCCATTACTAGCCTTTGATTATCTTCAACATGGATTAGTCGACAGTATTTATACTGATTCAATGAAAATATTTGAAGAATTCCCAAGAAGGATGAAACCAATTATCATTATCGATACGTGTTGAGCCACATACCAGATTTCATGAGCTGATTTATCAGCCACTACTATCCGTAGTGGTTTCTCTAATCGTACCCATTTTTTGATGATATTTCTTTTAGCAAAACATAGAGTTGCTCCAGTGTCTATGTATGCTAATAATCTTTTCTTTTCAATAGTTATTTGTATGAATGTTGCGTTAGGATTTCCTGATTTTAGTATTTTTCTATTCATTTTCTGAATCGGATGATTCAGTGGTATATGCATATATTTCGATGTCAGAGTCAAACTCTGAATCTGATTCGATTGGTTCAAAGCCCATATCGTATGCTATTCGTAGTATTTCTGTTTCTTTTTTCTTTCCTTTTTTAGGACATTCATTTGCATAATGTCCCTCTTCTTGGCATAGCCAACATTTACAATTCTTTTTCTTAGAAGGACAGTATGTATCCTTCTTACCATAGTTTTTCTTTTTGTATTGTTTTCTATTTCTGAAATATTTTTGTGGTATGTATTTTTGTTTCCTATATTTTTTATAAGGAATTTTTCTCCATTTCTTTTTTTTATGTTTTTGGCGAATAGGTTCACAACCATATTTGCCTATTTGTCCTGGTATTGCACCACAACATAACTTATCGATTTTTGCCTCTTGTTTTCGTTTTTCTTGATTACATTGAAACAAATGCCAATCTTTTAATGTTGTTATTCTTCCTCCTAGAGTATTGGGAATTTGTCCCTCATTTACTTTATTCTGGTATATGGTTTTTATTTCTTCTGATATTGATAAAGGTAGTTTATCGAAGAATAATTCTTCGGCTACTATTTTCTTATCCGTTGCTAGTTGATAGTAATGATCTCTAAATTCGCAAATGAATGCTTCAAGATAACACATGTTACAAATTCTAAGATTTACTATTTCCCATAGTGCTACTTCTGATATTTGTGTTTCTCTTAATTGTGCATTAGAAGTTCTTCCAAGAAATTCTTCTCCTATTACGTCAATTAGCCTAACAAATGTTTCCCATGCAGTTGATCTTAGAATTTTCTCTGCTTTTATTCCTGTTGATAATCCTATTAAATAGTTGTATACTATTCCTGTTGTTTTATGTTCTAAGTAACTTAACATTTCGTGAGGGTGTAGTTTATTACCATTCTTCTTTTTCCTCGTTTTATCTCATTATTATTTTCTACATAGAAAGCTGGAGCCGAATGTGGACTCGTGCTTTCTCGTATAATACCTTTATCTAGTAGTTCTTTACATTC